CCTGTGGTCTGGTCCATTGCAAACAAATTCTGTGGTTTCTTTACAACATATTACTACTAGGTGGATTGCTTTTTTGTCATTTTATATAAAAACATGAGTTCTATAAGCTATTCTCTTATATTTTCAATTTTTTCTTTATTTTGATTTGTTTAGTCTTAACTTTGATAGTATCACATTTGGAAGGCTGAACACGTGCATATGTCTTCGAATGTCCTCAAAAAATTAGTAGTTATAGGTAAAATTAAATAAGAAAAAGACAAATCACGAGGTGTTAAACTCTCACAAGAGAAATTATAAAGTTTTATAACCACCGAGAATAAAAGTGTACTTTGCTTGAATGTTAAAATATAGCATTGCAAAAGGTACTAGTGTCACATGGATCCTTTCCACATTTCACGTCTGTCCCAACCAGATACCAAAGATTGTAGCATAAGGCTAATTCAGACAAACAAGACTGGTGGAGTTCATTTACAAATCCATATTCTAAACATAAAAATGTGAATTTGCAAATGAATACCAAATTTTGTAGTAGAATGCACGTGTTTCAACCTTTTGAAATTTATACGATTCCTGTTGCTAATAATTATTATGAACATTGAGAGTTTGTACCGACTAGTAAGGGACCTCAAATAAAGTTGAATTTTGAATGATTGTGTAAGAATATTTATTACATAATAAGTTAGGCCATTTTCCACCATTTAATATTTAATATAATCAGTCACTCCACTTGATCTTTTAGCACTAATTATGAGTCCTATTAAAACAAAGGCTAATTATATGAACACTGAGGGTTAATATTAACTAGTAAGGATCTCAAATAAAGTTGAATACCAAGAATCATCAAGAGCAAAAATGGCATGGCTAAGGGCTTGTCGCCTAATGCTTCAAAAATCAATGTTTTTCAATTGTTTGATGGGCAATAGATAATCAATAATTAAAGATTTTGTATTTATCTAATGGTACAAGCAACTTCATAGAGACATAGGGTCGATTATAGAAAAAGTCAACCTCTACCAGTTATCACCAAAAGCAAGGAAATAGAATTCAAGAACAGATGGGACTTACTGTAGGAGCATCAGTCTCAGAATAACCACATGGACTGACAAGCAAGATGACACCACTGACGTCTGAAAGGTTACCAAGAACAATAGCAAGGTCGGCAGAGTTGGTGCAAGAAGGTGCTTTCCAATATGAGTGTCGTGGTCCAAAATCCAGTGGAGCAAGCAATGACAAGAATGGTGCTGAATCTGGTGCTGTTTCAACCTACAATTGTCACACACAAGTTGCATCAGATAAACCTTATGGGAGACTACCAATTTTTCTTAGCTGATTGATTCATTCTTTGTGAAAAAAGTATAACGCGTGCTTTCCCAGTGAATTCCAATCCCACATCAAAAAATGATTTTTGAAAAAGATCTCCAAACAATAAACATATGCACACAATCTTTTGTTTGACCACCTATCTATCACTTCTAACGTTGGTTTCAACTAAAGCCTCTTCGTAAGTAATAATTACATAATACTAATTAAATGTATAGTTTAGGTTTACTGTAATTCATCTAAGAGAATAGACTGAGAAAATATGTATAAGATTAACACTGATAACTGACTAAGCTTTGTGGCGGCTGTCAATCTACCACGTCAGAACGTCAGCATAATGGTAAGTACAAGACTTTTTTGTAACAAAATTAATACCCAAAATATGCATATTCTAATGAACAGACTAATAAATCTGGTCGTCTGGAAATCCACACAAATAAGCAACTTATTTCAGTATAAATGAAGATAACATGATAACATCTCATAAATGGCAAGCTCAAAATCCGAAAGTTAAAGCAAGCAGATAATCTACCGAATGCAAGAAGCTTCCAAATGGAAATTCAGCAAGTGATTCCTCTCCATGAAGTACTTGCTGCTGTATGACATTAGCCACACATTGCCCGTCCAAACATTGATTCCTTTCAGGAATGCTATCCCCCAAGGGAGTATCCATAAGCTGGTAGAGAGCTTTATGTGCAGCATTTTCAGCACGCATACTTCTCCGCAAACTAATCAAGACCCTGATATAGTCCACCATCAACGCATCAAGTACAGTCTCATGGCAACACTGTTTACAAATACATTATCCCATGCAATAGAAAGATTTGCCGAGAAATCAACTTGGCTGCCATGATTTGATCCACTCTGACTCAT